ATCCATTTGAGTTCCATCGCTGATTATTCGCCTACCAGCTACTTTCATCGACAACTTCTGTCCACTGCTCTTAACCCGTGCTGCTCTTAGTCGCAAGGGAGCAAAAATCTTACGATTCACTGACTTGCGACACTCTCAGGTGAAGTCCTCGTTTTCTTCAGTCGTGCCTCCTTTCGCGAAGCGATCGATTGAGCCGTATTGAACTCTCAATTGATCTCGTATTCGCGATCACGATGGAAACACCTGTGTCTCATTTGATTGAGACTGGTAAACGTCCAAGGATCGCCACGCCCGATGGGCCACTCACTTCTCCCGAGCTGGTCGACATCGTCAAGCAGGTTAATGATACGAAGTCGATACCGGATTGTGTCAAGAAACTACTCCTCACCATCTCCACTCAACTCACCGCAGTGATCGAAGAAAATGCTTCGTTACGTGAGCGTCTCAAAACGTTTACTGATTTGGAAAAGGAAAACAATCATCTTAAAGAACGCTTGCGATTTCTTGAGCATAATGTAGACTCCACACCTCCCAATCCTGACCCCGCTAAGCCTAAGCCGTTGTCTTATGATCAGATCGAGATGAATAGATCGATAATCATTAGTGGGGTGCCAGAGTTGCACAACAGCAGCTGCATTGATAGAATTCAATATGATTTTCAGAGTGTTAACAATATCCTCATGCATTTGAATGTTGTTGATGCATTCCCTGTATCAGTTTATAGACTTGGCCGTTGGAGTCCTGGTAAAAGTAGGCTGATAAAAGTCATTCTGCCTTCCTCGAAATTTCAGAAAATTGCTGTAAAAAGGGCTCCCCGTCTCCGCAGTTTCCCAGGTAGGGGAGTATTCCTCAGGGAATCGCTCCCCTTCGAGGAAAGGATGCGGAGGCGGGAAAGCCGCTCAGCTATTCGTAGTAATCATGTCGAACGTTGTAATACCGTCAATGGCTCTGTTTCTTCCCCTCGCTCTTCGTACATTGGTAATGTTTCATCCTTCTTGATGCCTTCTTCGGGAAACGTATAATTCCTCTCCGGTGTAAAGGTAATGAAATTTGATGCCTTCTCAGCAATATCCGGTCTTTGCAGAGCAATGCTCATTGTCTGGCTTTCTTAATTGTTGCAATGCACTACGACGTGATAGCTCTGACCGAAACGTGGTTGAAGTCTCTAATCGCTGAACCAGTCGCTTCGTATGATTCCTTTAGATGCGACCGGCCTAGAATCAAAGGCGGCGGAGTGGCATTACTGATCAAACGTTGCTTGTTCCCTGCCCTAGTTTTTCGTGAATCGGTTCCTAAAGGATATGAAATTCTCTCTATCGACCTTCATTTGAAAAACGGAACTCATCGGTTGATCGTTGTCTACCGGGCTCCCAAATGCAATTCGGATCTCAGCGATCAACTTAATAAATGCATTAGCGATCTCGCCTCTAGTGATAATGTTTGTATTCTAATGGGGGACTTTAACTATCCCGATATCAATTGGAATGTCACCCCTCCTCATGCCTCCTCTTCTTCCAACGCCTTTCTTGATATGATTTCAAGTCACAATTTCCTTCAGCTAGTCAATTCCAACACACGAGGGCAGCATACCTTGGATCTTTTGTTCTGCAACAATCCAGACTCTATTACTAAGGTCCGCACAACTGCTCCCGTAGGCAAAAGTGATCATGCTTCAGTACAATTCAGCTTCTTCAGCTCATTCGAGCGCAATGTGTTTACATGGAAGCATGATTTTAAAGCAGCAAACTTTGAGATGATTAACGCATTTTACATGATATTGACTGGATTGGCTCAAGGGCTGTGGTGATGTTCATGAGATGTACGAGTTATTTCTTTTTGTACTTAATCATTGTATCGCCCTATTTGTGCCTCTTCGCAAAATGTCCCTCAGTTACCCGAATCTTCCAACCCATCTTGTCTCTGCATACAATTCAAAAGTCAAGGCGTACAAAAAAGCTGCTCTCAGCAATCGAGATGAGCACTGGCATTGCTATAAGCTGGCATCAGAAAGATTTGAAAAAAAAGATGCTCAAATATAATATCTCGGTCGAAAAGAAAGTTATTACATCCAAATCAAAGGTTGCTCTCCACAAGTACCTGAATTTTCGCATTAACAAAAAAGAGGGCGTCAGTGCTCTCAAACGTCCTGATGGTTCCATGGCGGTGTCTGACTCTGACAAGGCAGAGCTCCTTGCAGAAAATTTGAGAAGGTTTATGTCAAAGGCGAAGTCCCCAGTTCCTCCACTACCTATCCTCATGTTTTCCAGTTATGCAAGACTCTGTTTGGTTTGATCGCTCCCAAATCTTCGAATTTATCATGAAGTGGAAGTCTTGTTCTTCTCAGACTCCAGATGGTATCCCCTTCGCCTTCATAAAGAAGACCGCAGATAGTATCTCAATGCCTCTTGAAATCCTCTTCAACCTACTATTCTTTCATGCAGCTGTTCCACAAAGCTGGCGGCACGCCTATGTAATTCCAATAAGAAAAAAAGCGTCATATCACGATCCAAATAATTACCGACCCATTAGTATTACCTCACTCTTTTGTAGGCTCTTTGAAAAAATCATCAAGAAAGCATTGGAGCGCCACCTTGAAACCAATCGAATTCTATCTGATCATCAGCATGGCTTCAGAGAGCGAAAATCCACAATCACTGGAGTCCCTCAATGACTGAACTTTAGCACTCGATGCCAAAAACATTTTATAGACTTCGATTTCGAGAAAGCTTTCGACAAGGTAACACATTCACTGTTGTTAAGTAAGCTAGCTCAAACTGGTGTGCACTACAGAATAGTCAAATGGATTGATAATTTTCTCAGACTGCGCACATTTCAGGTAGTTATTAACGGGTCATTTTCCAGAATCAGAAATGTCCCCAGTGGTGTTCCTCAAGGTCCTGTCCCCAGTACTATTCAGTATATTCGTATCTGACTTGCCTCATATTATTGCTAGTCCCATGGTAAAATTCAAGCTTTTTGCGGATGATCTGAAAATTTACGGTCAAGTTGGCCCTACCTCTTCCCCGCTACAATTGAGTGTAGATGCCATTGTGCGCTGGTCCAGCTCCAACATGCTTCTGTACACAAAACCAAAGTGCTTCATCTGGGTGAGACTAACCCTCTTTCCAATACCGCATAAAAGGTATCATCCTTGAGACTGCTGACACGGTCAAGGATTTAGGCTTCTCTATCGATTCCAAACTCCGTTTTGAAGATCACTTAAGAAACGTTCTGGCCAAAGCAGAACAGAGAACTTTTCTTTTATTCAAATCGCTCAAAACCAATGATCCAGCTATACTTGTGAAAGCCTATAAAATGTACGTCCGCTCAGTCCTTGAATATGGCACATGCATTTCTTTCCCCGAACCAAAACATTCCTTAACAAATTGGAGAGGATACAGAATGATTTTACCAGAAAGCTATTTATAAGAGCACTTGGTTTCACCTACGAAAGTATCCCTCGTGGACTAATCAGAAGCAAAATGCTCAATTTAGATCCATTGCATCTCAGGCTGAGGAGGAATGACATTCTAATGGTTTTCAAAATTCTCAGTAGCTTCTTCATATAAACAGCTCCGCATTTTTCCAGCTAGTGCCATCCAGGACTAGAGGCGATATACTCAAACTCTCTTTTCGTCAACCACGCTCTTCAGTCGGTCGATCATTTTTCACGTTCCGTGCTGGTACAGAGTACCTGAGAATGAGCAAGGTGGTGCAAATACCGGCCACACTAGCCAGGTTCAAGAAGGCCTTTCTCATTACCTACACATGGTCAATTAACGCTACTTACTGTTTTATATTGTTTTATATTAGTTTTCCTTGCTTTTCTACCATACGTTTCATTTGTCGTTTCGTTTTTTTTTTCTTTGTCTACAAGTCACTTTTTCACCTACATGTGTTATGCATGTAATAAAGTTATGTTACGAGACGGATAGCACACCGCTCTAGGAAGGACAAAATCGCATCAGAAGCTGCAAGCCTCACCAGATCTTGTAGATCTTTCTTTCCAAGCCACGAAATTCGCCATTGTGTGATCAAAGTGTAATCCACGAAAAGATAGAATGAAAACTTTAGAATACAAGACAACGTATGCACCAAGATGTGTAAACCTTACCTGAGTAAAGTGAAGCCCCGCCAATCACCAGCAAACTCACGCTAAAGTGGGTGGTACCATTGAGAGAACTTCTGTTCTGTTTCAGAAAAGATCGGATATCGAAAAATGCATGAGGTCAGCGGCGTTCCGGCAGATAATTTGAATGGAACCACTCTTTGGAGGAGATTTTTCTCAAATGACGGCTGAAACGATTCTTGACTCGAATCTGGGATTGTGTCCCACAGTGGCAATTCTGGTTAGCAACTCGATCTCGCGTTGAAAACTTTGGAAGGTTTATGTAAAGAGTTTATTAGCATGCCGCATCTAATTTAAACACAAGAAGAACAATTATTGCGAATCACATACGCCCAGGGTCGCAGGCTCCTCCGTTTTTCTTTTGCGTCCTCTTCACGCGTTCATTCAGTTTTTCTTTCCAATATTCCCACGAATGTTCGCACTGACCGTAGGGTATTTCAAAGACTTTTACCCAACACTGAAACACCAAACCTATAAACCACAACAGTTTGGAATCGTCAGCATGCAGCAATCTACAAAGGTTCTTGTAAAGGTTGCAGTGTTGCAAAATTCACATCACCTTTTTGATGAACTCGACCTTTGCTTGATCTTCTACGCTCGTCTAGAACTTTTTTCATCTCGTCGGGGTCTTTTTCGTACACTTTCTTTTCTAGATGACGTACGAAAAAACTCATCCCCGCAGTCTTTGCTTCATTCGCTTCGTTTCGCACCTCATCTTTGAGACGTAGATGTAATCAATATCATCTGAAAAGTGATGTCAACTCAGTCAGGAAAAGGCTAAAACTGGCATTAGGAGTCTTAATTAAGGGTCAGACACTTTAGCGGTCATCAGCTTACCAACCTTCTTCGTGGTTTGGTTCTTTAAATTCTATCAGACATCTGCGTCATCATCATCTCTTATTCTGAATGGAAATTGGAAAATCCATCAAGAAAACACAAATGAAAGCTAGGAAAATAATTTTCCTACCTGTCGAATTCAGCATAATCTTCTGCCTCCGAGTCACTCTCCCGTACCGGTGTCACCTCCATCCCCTTTTCTGCCTTTTTCTTTTCTTCTGATTTCCTTCTGTATACCCTTCCATTTAGCACTATTTTCATTTTTTTCCACAACTTGTTGCGCTCACTTTCGGACAGTTTAAACTGTTTTGCCCACCACGGGTGCTCAACAATCTAGAAGTTTCTTGTACATAGCGGTTGCAGTGTTGCAAAATTCACCTCACCTTTTTGATGAACTCGACCTTTGCTTGATCATCACGCTTGTCTAGAACTTTTTTCATCTCTTTGGGGTCATTTTTGTAAACCAGCACTTCTAGACGACGTGCGAAGTCCCTCATTCTCGCAAGCGCTGCATTATCCGCTACCGTTTGCACCTCATCTCTGCTGACGTAGGTGTAATCAATTTCATCTAAAAAAAGATATCATCTTAGGCAGGAAAAGGCTAAAACTGGTATTCGGACTCTTCACTGAGGATCACACACTTTTTGACGCCCATTTGCAACCCGACCTTGTTCTTGGTTTGGAACGTTATCTTCTAGATCCTGTCCTTCTTCCTGGTCTTGTTTTCCTGGCTTCTCCTCGGGTCTTCCAATTAATTCCCCTTCCTGATCCGTTGGTGCAATCCCTAATTGGAACGAAAATCGGGATCCATTAGAAAACACATAAACAAAAGCACAAAGCAAAGCATAGCACTTCATCACCATAGCTCATAAAAATTCTGAAGTTGCCTAAGAAGTTTCCAATCGTACGTCGAATGAAATGTTTAGAATCTTCAGTGTGTGACTTTTTTCCGTTAACTATTTATACTTGTAAAGAGCAGTCATTTGAAAACAAAAAACATCACTAGAGCATCAATTCTCACTAGAATCACACTGTATCTAAAATCCTATAATAATGGTATTGGTGTCGAGGGATTCATGCTTTGCTCAGATATGTTCGTAACTGTGGTTTCCTAGCATTCATTTTTTTTTCATTTCAAGATTTCTAGTCGAAATGAATGGTTGTCATGTATGCACGTAGTACATGCCGTCAATGCCAATCGGGAGCTTAACCTTGGTCTTCATTGAATGAGTGCGAAAGGGGAATGAGTGTTCCTTATTTCTTTGAACCTGGTTTCATCATGCCTGAACGGAAATCAGAAGCACTCCTACTAGTTTTTCTGACTTACTTCTGTTGTACTGCCCTTTGGAGCACCTTATGTAGTAACTAATAAGTAGTAACTAGTAATTGAATAAGTAAACAAAAACAAGTGTGGTTATGATGTTGTCGCTAAAATAAACCTCAGAAGGCGATCAAAAACTAACCTGTCAAGAATTGGTTGACGTATCCGTAAAAGTTATAAGGAACCGTGAGGTGTCGGTCCTCTAGCTTTCCACAGACGTCAGAATCGCGCCAGGACACGTTAGTCTTGCTGTGGGATCCCTTCGAGAAGTTCTAATGAATCCACTCCACAGATCAGTGTCTGGTTTTCGAGACAGTGGCGGAATCTATGACCCGATCGGCTTGAAAGTTATAGCTTTCACACTATATGAGGATATGTAGCAAACACCTTTTGGATTTCTTTTTTTTTCGAGATTTTTTTCACACACCATGGTTCATAGGAATCATGAAACCTTTCGGAAAATTTCGAATCGTGCGTGGAAATGTGAGAGATTACATTTTGTGCAGTAGTATGCTATACAGGAAACGTACCAGAGCCGATTCAAACGAAATTGACTTTTGCGGGTCGACAGTGAGCTCCATACAGCGCATTGGACCTTTTGGGCTCCGCCCAGCATTGTGTTTCCAGCAGCAGCATCCTTCGATGAGCATTTTGAGAGAGGATTCCACTTTTGACTGTTACCCTCTGACTTCTCTGTGGAACTCGCTACCCATAAAATTATGGTGTTTGATGCTATGCAGCGATGTCCACGATAGCAAACGACCTTCCATATGCGTCTACATTGTCGTAGATCAACGGCAAATAAAGAGTCCAAGACCAATTTGGCATGTTCCTTGACGGTTTCTTGATTTTTCGGCAGTGGAGTGACGTTTGAACAAACACACTGTCACGGTTTTTCTTTGCGTAAACTGAAACGCGATGCAGGAAAAAGTGAGGTGTCGGCCTTTCATCACATATTGCGACCGTGAAAAGTTCGGGAGGTTGTTTGATTAGTGACCCACACTAACCATAAGAGATGCGACCCGACCCACTCCTTTTCATCTACCCTTCTTGCCTGATAAAGCAGCTTTTTGTTCGCAATCAGTTGGATGAGGAATCCCAGAGGCCGATTAAAATTGTAATAACACAACAGACTGCCCTGCAGCATCCTGGGATGATCGGTTAATCAGAACGCTGAGGCTTCAAAAAGGATGAATAGTCCTCACAGCCAGAGTCTCCGAAAATGGAACCGGCAGAGTGCGTGGTGCAATCTTGAATCGCCACACGTTCCCATATTTTAGGATCGCATGGCAGTTTTGGTCGAACGTACGCAGAGGATCAGCAAATTCTCAGTCATTACCAGCAAAAGTAAATATTTATCAGCTAACCGATCTCAGAAATAAATTTCCCGATTCGAAAAATTGCCCTGTTGGACCGTTTCCTTCATATGGTTTTTAGAGCTGCTCTCCTGAACACGCGAGTTTTTAACACTCCACGATAACTTACGCCTTCCAGACTCATCTTTATGAAATAAATGATACAACAAAGCACGCTTGCCCATCAAGTGAAAATTAACTTCTCCAAACGTTTACTAATACCTTTTCAAACTCTTGTGCATTTAGCCTTGCGGTATGATGTCTTGATCCCTCAAAGTAGTTGTTTCATTCTTCTTTACGCACTTAGGTTTTCCAGTTTTGAAAACAATGTTTCTCATATCGGGCTCAATATGACTCGCGTGCTTAAGTTTATATGAACAGACTCTTTCTTGCTCTAGGGCTCCAATCAACGTTCGTTGTTGTAATTTTTTGAGAAGCCTTGAAAGCATCCCCTGTTCACTTTACTGTGCGATCAGCAAAGGGACTATTTCGATCGGTTCACGTTAGCTGGTGTATTCTTATAGCCTTATAGCTTTTTAGTCTCATCTGCGGTTACATCGTATTCCACACATGCGAGTGCTCCTTGTGGAATATTGTACTTTCTGTCTTCTTTCTCTTGCGCGGCCAGTGAGATATCGACCGGCCTCTACTTTCTTTGGATGCTGTGTTTTCTGTCCTCATCCAATTTCGGTTGACGTCCTGTATCTATTATTGTTCATTGTTTTGTTTATTTTTTTGCGTGGTCGGGTGATAGTTCTCTTTCTTATATTGCGATTAGTAGTTTCAGTATTTGGGAATTTGTTTTATTCGAAACCAGCCTTTGGGCTTTGTTCGGTGGACTTGGTTTATTTTCTTGTAGTAGTTGTTGGAGTGTCTTTTTTTTTTTGGGGAAATGTTCCTTCAACCTGTTTCTATTCGTTTTACTCAATTCGATGTTTACTTACGATAGGAGAGTACTGACCCAAGTGGTTGCAGCTGGTCCAGCAGCTCCGCCAGAAGGGCTGGTTTGCTCACCCCAGGACTAAGCCTTGGAGAGGGGACGGACCCGTCCTCTCTTTAAGGCTTAGTTCTGAGGTAGCACCAAATTGTGGCGGTTCTAAGGACCGAGTTGAAGTGGTCCGTCCACCGTCGGGGACTCCATCCCCTCCCCAACATTCAGCATACGGTCCCAGCCGAAGCGCCAAAAGGCGTTTGCTACGTCGTATGGATGTAGGCCAATTTTGGCTGGCCAAACAAAGCCTTCATAAATTCAAATTGTAGACACAGAACCGAGTAAGAAATTGACATATGAAGTCAGTCTTTGAACGGGAACTGTTTACCAAAGCTTTCTAGTGTCTCCGAGACGCATGAAAGGCCTCTCAGGACCAATCATTAAAATCCTACGGAGAAGTTCGTCACCTCCACAAAATCGAATCTGTACGCCAATTCGTCTGACTCTGCTCAGCCTGATTTCTGAGGTTTCCTGCGTTCAAACCTAATTCGTTTGCTTTAGAATTTGCTAGTTATGAAGATGCCTCAGCACTCACATTAAGGCACCGAGAATGGAGTCGACTCACACTTCATATGTCGATTTTCGCATTTACCTGCGTAACACAGACATTCCAACATCGCACATCAATGATTGTTTTGTCTTTCTGCCCTTTCCAGTTCGACTCACTGAAATCGGTGCACCTCCTAACAAAAACGCAATTTTTTCTAGCTATGGATTGGTACAGCAAAACTAACAACTCCACAATTTTGCGCTTCTTAGGGTCTCGCGTAAAGATGTTTATCTTCCACGACTTAGGTTGCAGAGACAGCTCTAGTCAACATCTACACAGTATAATAAATGGAGATTAAATTATGCCAAGTTAGGGCGCAATTAAGAGAGCATAAAATATGGATTCTTAAAATTGCTTAAAGCGAGAAATTACGATAAAATTTCTGTGCAGCATGGAAGAACGAGCAGCACTTCAAGCAGTAGCTAGAGCCCAAAGGAATCGAGATGTGGCCTTTTTGTGACTAAAGGTGCGCTCGTTGCAGCGCCCTGGGGCTGCCAATCCTTTCTGAGCTCCGCCTCCGCCTGTGCTCCGCCCCTCAGCAGATCGCTGTTCGATTATCATTCTGATAAGGTATGCCACTTCGAGCGCGTATCCAATTTTTTCTCATGGAATGCTATATCAATCAAGGTATGATCTCTGGTGGTATGATGGCAGCTATGGTTTAACGAGTGCCGACGACCTCTTAGTTGGTTGCCAACTCGTCCATTATCGGAGGTCAACGGGCAGAGAAAGTGGTCCCATTTTGCGCGTTTTTGACGGATTTCTTTGCTTTTTTCGCTACTAGGGCATTATTCAGCATCTTCACTTCCACTATGAAGCACAACAGAATCTTATCGTAATCTCTCGCTTTAAATATTCGTAAATGGGCTTTTACATGAGTCTATTCGAAAAAATGTCACCGGCCACTGTCCAAGCAATTCAGTTATCAACACAATCTTGGAAGCAGCGTTTTATCTCGATAAATCACTGACACAAAGACTTTGTGGTGTAATCGCCGCCGAAGTGTAGCCTCGTTAACGCGCAGCAGATTTACGAGGGAACTCGCTTATCTTCAGGAAAGAAAATCGACCGTTGACCCGTTCGTATACATAGAAAAACTGGTGTTCACGAGTAGCCAGAGTATTGGGAGAATTTCACCAAGAAGTTGGGCTGCGCGAAGTCGTATAAGTTCAATAGCGATTGGCGTCGATAAAAGGAAGTGCTTTTGCGGAGAGCACGTTGCGCCTTCGTCTTCATGGGTATGAGAGTCCCACAGTTTCGGGTGGCCGTTGGCGCAAAAGCGATTGAAGGCCTTTTGTGCGGCGGCAGTAGCCCGGAGGACGGTTGTGGGGACCCTAATCGCTATGAGTTGCCCGATAAGGACTTGGTGAAAATCCAGTTCGGGGGGAGGGGGCACTCCATTTTTTCTCCAAGTACTCAAGATAAGGATGAGAGGGCTCACGACACGTAATCGACTCATTTAAAGTAGACTTCTGATAAGTATCGGTGTAATGTGTGAGAAACCCTGAAATGTTTTCACATTTCCGCCTGCCATGACCCAAGGGAACGGTCCTGGACCAGGAGAAAGGACACCTCGCAAAGGCTAAGGGTGCAGGAGCTCCAGGGTGGATCACCTGTGCAGAAAAGTGGATGGGATGTGGGCAGGT